TGTGGTGAAAGAAAATTTAATTGCATTACGGACGAAACTAACAAAAAATAGACAAAAAATTTGGGCTATAACCCTTTAAAATTGCTAAATTTGATGTGTATGCCTAATTAATTGTCATTAGGTCAAAATTAATGTAAATAGACTAGGTCGTAGGTAGTATACGCCTAACTAATTACTAATAGGTCGGAACAGACAAAAGTGGACAAAATTTGAGAGTTAAAGTTTATGTGCCATTAGGTTCAAATACGGAAAACTGATAAAAAAAACTTAGTTATAGTTCATGAAAATTATGATTGTTAAAAAAAAGACTTAATTGCCATTTGGTCGTAAAAAGGAAAATTTGGGAAAAAGTATGGGTTATAGTCCATGAAAATTGCGAATTTTAAAAATCATGAGTATAGCCCATGAAAAGCACAAATGCTCTCTATTGGTTGAAATGAATAAAAATTGGCAAAAGTCATAGATTATTGACCATGTTAATTGCAAATAATGATTTACATATAATTACTTTCCATTAGGGTGAAACGAACGAAAATTGCTATGCTCGCAGGTTAAGCCATAAATATCATGAAATATAAAGTCATAGCTAATTTTCATTTAAAAATCATGAAATATAAAGTCATAGTTAATTGTCATTGGGTGAAATGAACAATAATGGACAAAAATCATGGGTATAGCCAATAAAAATCATGATTTTTGGTAAAAGAAAATTTAAGTACAATTGGGTTGAGACAAATAAAAATAGGAAAAAATCGTAGGTTATACTTCATAAAAATTGTAAATTTGAAGTGTATGCCTAATTAATTATTATTAGATCAAAACTGACAATAACAGACAAATTTTTTGGTTAAAGCCTACGAAAATCGTATATTGCGTCATAGAAGAAAATTGACAAATATCGTTGGTTAAGCCCATGAGAATGACAATCTTTGGAGAAAGGAAACTTAGTTGTCATTAGGGGGAAATGTTGAGCAAAATAATTGACATTGGGTGGAAATGAATGAAAATTGACAATCGTGGGTTGTCGCCCATGAAATTTGCAAAATTTAAAACTTGTAGGTAAAACGAATCCATGAAAATTTAAAGTACATATAACATATGGTCAAAATGAACGAAAATTGACAATAATGAGTTTTTGCCCATGAAAAGCTTGAATGTTGAAGTACATATAGTTTGTTACTAGGATGAAACGATAAAAATTGGCAAAATCGTGGGTTATAATTCGTCAAAATCACCAACTTTCAAGTATTCACAATTGATTGTTATTCTATCTAATGAATCACAATGGACAAAATCGTGAGTTATATGCCCATGAAAATTGTGAATAATGAAGTTCACACAAGTAATTGCGATTGGATCAAAAAGAACAAAATTGGCTAAAATTATAGAATATAGCCCATAAAAATCATGAATTTTGAAGTGCATATACTTATTCGTCTTTGAATTGAAGAATTAAAAGGCAAAAATTGTGAATTTTAGTCCTTGGAAATCACACTTTTTTATGAAAACTTTAATTGTCATTGGGTCAAAAATAATGTAAATAATAAACTAAATTGTTGGTTATAATTTCATAAGAAAGTCACAAATGTTTTGGTACACATGATTAATTATCATTGGGTTAAAACAAATGAACATGAGCAATTATTATGGGTTATTGCCCTGAAATTAAAAAAATAAAAAATAATCATGTTATAACTCATGAAATTCGTGAATCACATACTTAATTTCTAATTGGGTCAAAATGAATGAAGATTAGCAAAAATCGTGGGTTGTAAGTGTAACCCATGAAAGTCGCGATTTCTATTGTACGCATAATTAGTTGTTACCAAGTCGAAACAAGTTAAAGTGCGAAAAAAATTATGGGTTTCAGTCCATGAAAATGGTGAATTCTGAAGAGTATGCCTAATTAGCTGTCATTATGTTGTAACAGATAAAAATGGGTAATTTGTGGGTTAAACCCATGGAAAGAGTTCACTTTAAAGAACACATACTTATTTGCCATTAGCTCAAAAAAATGATAATTGGAAAATCGTTAGTTATTGCTTATGAAAATCACAGTTATTGAAAAAAAAATACTTAATTTCCCTTGGGTCAAAAAGAACGAAAATTGTGAAATATTGTCAGTTATAGTCTCTTGAAATTCACAAAATTTTTTAAAATCGTAGGTAACAAGTAACAACCTATGAGAATTACAAATTTGTAGCACATATAATTATTTATCATTGGATCAAAAGGAATGAAAATTGACAAATCGTGTGTTAGTAACCATGTAAAATTGTAAATTACAAATTTTGAAGTGTGAATAAATTACTTGTCATTAGGGCCAAATGAACAAAAATTGCCTAAATCGTGAGTTATAACCCATCAAAATTATGTAATATGAGTTTGTCATAATTAATTATCATTAGGTCAAATGCATAATAATGGACAAAACTGTTGGCTTTAGCCGATAAAAGTTACGAATATTGAAGTTCACACAATTATTTGTTATTAGACTAAAACAAATAAAAATGGACAATAATCATGGACTATAGCGCATGAAAATCATGATGTTTGAAGTATGCCTACTTATTTGTTATTGGGTTGAAAAATAAAAATTGACAAAAATCGTGAGTTATATAGCTATGAAAATCGCGATTATTTATCAAAGAATTTAATTGTAAATGGGTCGAAATTAATGAAAATAGATTAAATTCGTGAGTTATAACCAATGAAAATTGCAAATTTTGAAGTGAATGCCTAATTAATTGTCATTAGGTCGAAATAGGCAAATTTTGACCAAATTCGTGGGTTAAGCTTATAAAAATTGTGAATTGGATCATAGAGAAAATTTGATAAACATCATTGGTTATAGCCCATAAAAATCGCACTTTGGAAAAAGAAAACTTAATTATCATCGGGTCAAAACGGATGAAAATTGCTAAAATTTGTGGGTTTATAGCCATGAGATACATGAATTTTGAAAATTGTGGGTAATAGCACATGAATCGTGAATTTTGAAGTATGCACAATTAATTGGCATTAGATTTAAATGAACGAAAATTGACAAAAATCCTAGGTTATAACCAATGAAAATTACGAATTTTGAAGTACATAAGTTATTTGTCATTAGTATGAAACAATAAACAATTTCCAGAAACATGAGTTATGACTCATCAAAATTGCAAACCTTGAATTAGTCATAATTACTCGTCACTTGGTTGAATGAATCATAATGGACAAAAATCTTGAGTTATAAGCTCATGAAAATGTGAATATTGAAATTTGCACAATAAAATTGCTATTTGGTTGAAATGATAAAAAAAAGTGCAAAAATCATGGACTAGCCTATAAAAATCATGAATTTGTAAATGTGCGTACTTATTTGTCATTGGGTTGAAAAATGAAAATTGATAAAAAAAAACATGGTTTATAGCCTATAAAAATCAACAATTTTTTATAAAAGAAATTTAATTATCATTGGATCGAAACTAACAAAAATAGACTAAATCGCGGGTTATTATTTCCCATGAAAATCACAAGCTTTTTAGCACTCTTGATCAATTGACATTGCATCGAAATGAACAAAAATGAGTAAATATCGTGGATTGTAGCCTTTGAAATTGTGATTTTTGATACAGACTTAGTTAATTGTCATTGGGTCAAAACGAACAAAGGACGGATATCGTGTGTTGCGCATGAAAGGCGTAAATTTTGTAGGCCGCATACTTATTTGTAATTATTAGGTCAAAATGAATGAAAATTAACAAAAATCATGTGTTACAGCCTATAAAAATCGCATATTTTGAAGTACTAAAAAATTAAAAACTCAGTTACATTTTATGATTGCCAGTTTACATAGTCATAGCATGCCACTCGATTCTCTTTTCATATAATCTGCCTCTTACAGCATCCATATGTGTGATATATAGCAGTGGTGATTTAGAGATGTAATTGTTAATTTTTGAAACAAAACTTCAGAATACATTGTAGTTGAAGATAAGGTAAAAGGCTGAGAGGTCTTCGGAACCTAAGTAAATTTAATTTCATATTAAGAATCAAACAGGAAGGTTCCCCTTTTGATGATCATATTACAAAGCCTGTATAGATGGGGTAAGGCTTCTACTAAAGGTTCTTGTTGAAGAAATGAATATAAGAAATAAGACATTTATTTCCATTTAGGACTATTACTCTTTCCAGCTCATTCCCCAGACAGACTATTTATTCACATTTTGGACTATTTTGTTCTCAGTTGGAGTATTACATATTTATTTATTTATTTACTAGGTTTAACTGGGGATAGACCCCTCTGCTATTGCCCAATTGTGGATGGACCCCCTGTAGTTTATTGTTAAGGCTTCTACTAAAGGTGCTTGTTGAAGAGATGAATATAAGAAAAATAAGATATTTATTTCCATTTAGGACTATTACTCTTTCCAGCTCATTCACCAGACAGACTATTTATTCCCATTCTGGACTATTTTGCTCTCAGTCGGAGTATTACATATTTATTTGTTTACTAGGTTTAATTGCTGATAGACCCCTCTGCTATCGCCCAATTGCGGATGAACCCCCTGTAGTTTATCGTTACAGAGAGACCCCTTGGAAGATTTTTTTTTTTTGGGGTTCCCTTACCCTCGTAGAAACAGAAAACTGTTTGTTTGACAGACCTCCTGAGGGTAAAAGAGTTAAAATTTGGCAATATAACTGCAGGGGTTCTATCCGCAATTGGGCGATAGTACATGGGGTCTATTCACAATTAAACCTATTTATTATCTCTTGCCCAAGCATTTTCCTTTCTTTTAGCTTGCGCTTTATTTCGGATATGTAATGAAGAGTTTGTCCTGCTTCATCAAGCTTCCTCTTGAGAGAAGTTGGTTACTTGTCATTAAAACTTTGATCTTGAGTTTTATGTCTTGAATCAATCTGACACGTGAAGTATGTTGACTGATCTCTTCATCGTGATTAATTGTGCTGCTGCTTACAAGACTGCATTTTCCTTTCTATTTTGATCTCTGCAGTTCTCCAGAGATGCTCGGTTCCTCACCTAATTGCTGTATAATGTGAGATGGCAGTGCTGAGTTCTGTGACCAGCTTGCAGTCTTGCTTTTGTCATGTTCCCCCCCTCAAATATTGGAAATAAATGGACAAAATGTTTATCTGTATACTGTATATTTTTCTTCAAAAGCTCACGGCAAAAGATGTATTAGAAGTCTCCGAGCAGTCAGAACCCTCTGCAGATCAGGCGTTTGAAATGTTTTCTGGATACAAAAGAAAATGCACATGTGAGTTGTATCTGTGTCGGGGTTGCCGGCTGAAATTTTGTAAAAAAGTATTTTGAGAATCCCGGAATTTTATGGGGGTGAGTTCCTAGTGATGCCAGATCTGGTGGAATTGATCTAGGAAACATTGTACTGTCAAACCGTTGCCCGATAGTTTCTCTTCTATGGATTCTTCAACAAATGGATCTTTCCGAAACTTGATTTAGTACGGGAGAAACTGCGTTGAGAATGGGCTCCCCTTTCGGTGGGTTAAAGGAGCCCTTGCTCACTCGTTGGTTACAGGTCCTTGCTCACCCGAATATTGAGACTCTTGATTCTACTAACCCCCTTTAAGAAAATCTAGATATACAAATTGAGATTATCTATTTCATGCGCACGCCATGGGAGGTTTCTGTAATAGCTCATATCTATCACAAGGTTTCTTTGTTGTTAATGAAAGTTCCAGTTGTTACGCAGCTAATTATAATCACATTTTTCAGACATGCCAAACTATCAGAATCACGAAGTTGGATTTCACTGTGAGTATTAATCAAATATTTTTGAAAATGCTAATAGTTGCAAAGAAAGAGAAACAAAAAATCTAAGAAAAGGGAAAAACCGAATTCTTCCAAGGACCATGACTTGACGGGTCTTATTTAATACGCATGTACTGAAAAGTGTATGGCAACGTAAAATAACAGAACCTTGCTCCAAAATATATCGAATACAAAACTTTGGCCAAGAAAAGAGATTTGAAAGCAACAAATTTCCAGGAGCACATGAACGTTACGCTGCAACAGCTGGCCCCGAAAAGGAAAAGTATGAATAACTCTCCAAGTTATAACAACTTCGCTATACAAGTTCTCCATATACAGTACTCAAGTAAACATATCTTTCCATAAATGTATAAACAATTTCAATCGGCCATCCTCAATTATCACGAGGACAAATAGAGCAAGTAACCTACATGACACAGTGACAACAAACACCTAGAGAAAGTAACCTACATGACACAGTGACCACAAACACCTCGAAAGCCTGGAAACGTACAAAAAGACTCAATCCATGAAGCATCGTCATGTATAAATTGAGAACATCATTACCATTTATAAGACCACATCATCTCTCACCTACTGTTGATGACCGCTCCCTCATGGAGAACTCTCGCTTTCAATTTCAGTCTCCAAACAAGATATTTCACCTAGTTAAAAGAGGAAGGGCCTCATAATAACAGCCACAAAGGAGAGAAGGCGAGAAGTTGCAAGTTGTTTAAGCGACAGAACAGGAGCTTGATTCGGGCCAACACCACCATATCCACTGCCAATATAAGCTGTGACAACGACAAATGAGATGGTATCACTTGAAGCTCATGTCAGGGTACAACCATACACGATAGCATAAAATGTAATCCAAGTATCCAAACCACTCAAAAAATACAGATAATAGAAGGCATTGTCCATCAAAGTCCGTTGAAGAATATTATTTCGCATAACTATCAATCTTTAGTTTACTACGTACATTGTCATTTTCTAAGGATGTGCACTGTGTATCCTAGCAAATATGTTGATAACAACGAGTACCTACAATCATAATTGTTGGGTTCAGAGAAAATCCACATGCAAACAGTAACCACAGAACTTGGAGGGTCTAAACACTTTCAAAGTGAGGGACCCATGAGGGGAAAACACATCAGAAGAGGGAATACGCATCATGAAGAAAGTCTCACCAGCTTTGGATGCTTTGCGCGTACATTTATCCACATTTCACTTTCTTCAAGTCCGAACACATTCATAATTACAAATACTATAATTAGCATAAGCAACCACATTTGACTTTCTTCAAGTCTGAACACAATCATTATTACAAATACTATAACTAAAATAAGCAACAAGCTGAAGGTCTCCCTTTATGCTGTGTTTGGAAGCTCACTAAGGGAAGGAAAGGAAGGGTAGGGGAAGGGAACTTGTCAATTTTCCCTTCCCCTCCTTTACCCCCTAATTTTTGGCGTGAGATTTTAGTGTAGATTTTCTCCTCATTTCCCTCCTCTACCCTCCCACTACAACTCTCAAACAAGTTTAAATTTGTAACGCCCCGCCTCGGAATCCTGGAGTCGGTACGCTACTAGATCTGATAGACTGGCCTCACAAACCACCACATGTCTTTTCAGCACGTTTTGTCCTCACTCACGCGCTCCCTGGAAAACTTCCCAGGGGGTCACCCATCCTAGAATTTCTCCAGGCCAAGCACGCTTAACTTTGGAGTTTCTAAGAGTTGGGTTCCCGAAAAGAAGATGCATCTTGGTGGTATGAGTATTCCAATCAAATCTATCAATACTAATCACATCACCCTCTCAAGGGTTGGGGTATTACTCCAAAACCATATCATCCAAGACCGTACCATCCGTGTGAGATTCTAGAGGTGGCTCCTACGGCCTCAAGAGGTGGCTCCCGCCCTCTTGACGTAGCACTTTGCGCCGCATAGCACTTAGCTCTCACAATTCCGGTTGGTTTGGCGCTGATACCATTTCTACATTTGGTATGTCCAAGTTATGGACTAATCCAGCTGGTCTTTGGTGCTCAGCCTTTACTTGTTGGCAAGTGAAACATTCTGCAACATAGGTGGCAATTTCCTTCTTCATATTATTCCACCAATATATTTCCTTCAGGTCTTTATACATTTTTGTTGATCCAGGATGCATAGTATACAGAGAGTGATGTGCTTCTTTTAGAATCTTTTTCTTTATCTCTGGTATGTTAGGCACACAAATTCTAGTTCCGAACCTCAATGATCCATCTTTATGTATCTTAAACTCTCCTCGAGTGCCTTCTTCCACATCTTTCTTTATCTTCAACAGTTGAGGATCATTCTGCTGGTTTGCTTTAATTTCATCTAGCAAAGAGGGTTGTATTACCATATTTGCTAATTTAACTCCAATTTGGTGGCCCCGGAATCGGTACGCTACTAGATCTGATGGACTGGCCTCACAAACCACCACATGCATTTTCAGCACGTTTTTGTCCTCACTCACGCGCTCCCTGAAAAACTTCCCAGGGGGTCACACATCCTAGAATTTCTCCAGACCAAGCACGCTTAACTTTGGAGTTTCTAAGAGTTGGGTTCCCGAAAAGAAGATGCATCTTGGTGGTATGAGTATTCCAATCAAATCTATCAATACTAATCACATCACCCTCTCAAGGGTTGGGGTATTACAAAATTTCTCCTCCCCTTCCCTTCTCTACCCTCCATCCAAACACAGCATAAGTCAAGGAACTGACATGTCTTGTCTTACCTGCCCTAAAAAGTGATGCTGATGCATAGAAAAATTGTCTGACACATGTGAAATAGAGAGTAATGCTGCTGGGCTCTCATGTAAGCAATTATAAATCAGCAAGTCAAAGAACTATAAAAAAATATAATGAATGGGCAAGAGATTTAAATATTTAAGAACATGTAAAAAGAATCTGAAGATCGTGATGAGACTCACTCAAATATAACTGAAGAGTTATCTTAGCCCAGTGCCATGCCATTCAAGTTGGAAAACAGCAACACAACTACTTAGGGCACCACTTTGCCATGTCTAACGTCCTCCTCCTCGAGTTGTATGGACAATTTCGTGATGCCCAGATCCTACAAAAAGCAATAGCATAAACCAGCATCATAATTCTTCTTTCTTCAAAAGAACATGACAATTCCATGAAAAACAGAACTAGTTCAACTGCTAATCTAATCAGCGCCAGTCTTTATGCAAGAAAGATTAGGAAGAGGGACCGCCGTCCATTAACTACAGCATGCCACTAAAAAGGTCCTTTGTACTTCAGCACTATTGACCGGTTACCAGTGATATACAAAGTGAAGCTTAACACCTATATTTACCTTTGAAATGAAACAACCAACCAATCGTCACAATCCAACGAGCTAAGTCTGAAGCAGCTGAAGAAGAATCCTCCAGAAGTTTTCTACTCATAAAAACAGTATCCATGTCAAATCTAGCCTCATGCCTTTGGGGGATCCTGCATAATGGTTCAAGTTGTCCAAAACTGAATTTTAATAAGTTTGCATCGAGCTCACCTGCACACAACCATCAAATGAAAGAAAAAGGAAGTAGACAAAACTTGAGACAGCATGTTATCCAACACAGTATGTCCTCTTTTCAAGAAAGGTGCATTCTTACAATTAAATTGGAATATCCAAGCATGCTTTTCTGTTTCTGTTCTGGACGCTTGTGGCTCATGAACTAATTTCTGCACTACCACTTGCTTGTTGCCATCTCTATAACAGACTGCGAACATCTCTGTTTCCTATCTCTTGAAGTTCTTCTCTGCGAGGATGTATCAGCTTTTATGCACCACTGACCAAATAGGCTAGCAATTCAATTCAAACTATTGATCAGGAAGAATGCACAATGACACATTGTATTGATCAGGAAGAATGCACAATGACACATTGTTTTTGTTTCACAATGTCACTGGAATAGCATTTCTGAAAATGTAACATACCATTTCACTGCTCTCAATCAATACTTGGAATAATTTTTCGAAGAATTTCAAATGGCGTTGTTGAACATGGACCACAATCATCTGAAAAATGTGATAGTTCACTCTTCAGTGAGGAGTAAGCATCTGCAAAAGCCTGTTCCATGAAAAGTTTTGTAAGGCTACTGAGACATGAACCCTTCACACCATATGAAATGATGAATCATATGTAGAAGAAGGTCAAGAATTTTTATTTCGAGATGAACGTTTTAATAACTGTATATAATGCTGCAATATATACTACACAAGAAAGTCTACTAAGAAAGTTAATGATAATATATGATGCTATAAATATATTATAATAAGTTGTCACAAAGAAATGTTTAAGTATGCATAATTAATTGTCATCGGGTCAAAACGAACGAAAAATAACAAAATTCATGGGTTATAGCCATAGTCATACGGTACATGGTACGTAGCAGGTCCTAGTACGACGTGTGCAATTCGTCACTTAGAAAATTTGGATTTGATGGGGGTAGCTTGCTTTGGTATGCAGGTTCGGTCAGTGGTACGTTGTAAAATTGTTTTGGGTGAGCTTACCATACACTGAGGTGTATGATCGAAAACTAGAACTAGAAAGCTAACTATGCATTTTAATATTTTTCATAGAAAATACTTAAATGCTTCTTTCTATGGATCTATGGAGTTCATTCTTTTGTTTTGTTTTTCTTTTCACATGGTTTGATAGGATCATGATTTCATTTCACGTTTTACTAACATACGTATTTAGTTATACTAAAACCATCGACTCATATATTCTATTTTGCACCTCCATTTACTCGGCTACACACATTGCATTGCGTCTTGTGCATGTACACTTAAAAGAATTTTGTGCTCCACATACTTCTAAGCGGTATGCTAATTTTGGGAACCAATTCGTGTATCGAAGGAATCAATTGTCAAATATACTAAGAATTGCTCTGCAGAGCTATATGACGGTTAGAGGGGGGTCCAGAAAATCGCGCAACTATGGTTATAGACCATGAAAATCATTAACTTTGAAGTACATATAGTACTTGCTATTATGATGAAATGATCAAATATTGCCAAAATCGTGAGGTATAATCATCAAAATCGTAAACTTTTAAGTAGTTATAATATATTGTCATTCGGTCGAATGAATCATAGTGGACAAAAATTGTGAGTCATTGAAAATCACAAATATTGAAGTTCGCACAATTAATTGGCTATTGGATCGAAGAAAATAAAAAATGGCTAATAAAATCATGAATTTCAAAGTGCGCATGCTTATTTGCTATTGGATTGAAGAATGAAACTGTGCAAGTGGGTTATAGACCGTGTAAATCACGATTTTTATGAAAAAAATTTAAACGTCATTAGATAGAAACTAATGGACTAAATCGTGGATTATAGATTCCCATAAAAACACAAACTTTTGGTACGCATGATCAATGTTTATTGCGTTGAAATGAATGAAAATGAGCAAATGTCTCCTTGAAATCGTGTTTTTTGAAATATGCTAAGCTAATTACTATATGACCAAAACGGAAAAAAAGGGAAAAAAATTGTATCCTATAATCCATAAACATCGTGAAGTTTGCAGTATGCATACTTATTTGTAATTGGGTCAAAACGACAAAAACTAACAAAAATCATGGATTGTAGCCCATAAACATCGTGAATTTTGAACTATGCATACTTATTTGTAACTGGGTCAAAATGACGAAAACTAACAAAAATCATGGGGTGTAGCCCATAAACATCATGAATTTTGAAGTATGCATAATTAGTTGACACTGGGTCAAAACAAACTGAAATGCAAAAAAATCATGGGTCATAATCCATTAAAATTGTGAATTTTGAAGTGAACACCTAATTAATTGTCATAAGGTTGAAAAAGGTGAAATTTTTTTGTGGTTTCAAGCCTATGAAACTTGTAAATTTTAAGCTACACATACTTATTTTTCATTAGGTCAAAGGACACAATTTCACCAAAATCATTAGTGATAGCACATGAAAATCACAATTATTGAAGAAAAAAATACTTAATTGCAATGGGTCAAAAAGAACAAATTTTGAGAAAATGGTGAGTCATAGTCCACGAAATCAACGAATTTTAAAAATAATAGGTAATAGCCCATGAAAATCACAAAATTTCAAGTATGCATAATCAGTTGCCATTGGGACGAAAAGAATGAAAATTTGACTAAAATCGTGGGTTATAGACCATGTAAATTGTGGATTTTAAAGTATGTACAATTACTTGTCATTAGGACAAACTGACCAAAAATTACCAATATTGCAAGTTATAACCCAACAAAATCCCGAAATATGAATTGGTCATAATTAATTGATATTAGGTCAAAAGAACAGTAATGGGCAAAACAGTGTGTTATAGCCCATAAAAATTGTAATTATTGAAGTTTGCACAAATAATTGCTATTAGGACAAAACGAACAAATATGAACAAAAATCATGGACTATAGCTCATAAAAATCACGAATTACGTGTTGAGTCCTTCCTGTATTTCGTTAATTTCCTATATTTAGTTTAGTCCAACATTGGGTAGAGTCAAATTTAATTCCGATTGAGTTGGAACTAACTAAACAAAAATTGTGGGTACAAGTCATGAAAATTGCAAATGTTGCAGTGTATGCCTACTAATTGCCATTTGGTCAAAAACAGACAACAATGGACAAATTTTATCGGATATAGCCCATGAAAATCGCGATCTTTGAAGAAAGAAAAATTAATTATCATTGGTCGAAGTGAACGAAAAGACATCATAGATTATAGCCCATGAGATTGCAAATTTTAAAAATCATGGGTGACATGAAAATTGTGAATTTTGAAGTTCACAAATATCATGGGTTATAACCCTTGAAATTATCGAAATATGCTTAGTTAATTACTATAGGTCTAAAACGAACAAAAATGGAAAATTTTTATCTTATGACTAATGAAAATCGTGAATTTTTAAGTACGCATATTTATTTGTAAGAAGGTCAAAACAAACGAAAACTGACAAAAATCGTGGGTTTATAAAAATCATAAATTTTCAAGTACACATAACTAGTTGCCACTGGGTTGAAACAAATTAAAGTGAAAAAAATCATCGGTTATAATCCATAAAAATTGTGAATTTTGAAGTGAAAATCATCGGTTATAATCCATGAAAATTGTGAATTTTGAAGTGTAAGTGTAATTAGTTGCCATTAGGTCAATACTGACCAAAATGGACAAAAATCTTTACTAATACAAATACACACGTGCAACAAAATGATTTAGGTTTTTTGGAGAAGGATTTATATAATTATGCAATATATTAAATTATATACATAGTAGCCCTAGAAAAAAATAAACGAGCATGCATGGATGCATGTGCAAACAAGCGGGAAGGAGGAAGGAGGGCGTTTGTGCGTGCATACACAAAATATGAGGGCATAACTTGGATGTTTTCATCTACCAAAGTGCAAGATAGTAGTACTGAAAAAATCCTCAAACCTTAAAGATTTTCGTTTACATATAAATAAAAATAAACTGGCCATGATGAAGGAAGTAGGTCATCCTTGGGGATGTGCAGTGGAACATATACAAATTATAAAGTAAGTGGGTTGGCCATCAGGTTGATTGGAACATGCATGTTGGTTATGTCCTGGGAATTATTACATGAGGAATCAACTACATACAGCTCCGCCGAGCCAAAAGGAAAGAACCGCCTCCGGCGGACAGTAGAGTATAGCCAAGAGGCTTTCGTCGCCCGTAAAGGACCTAACGGAAGACCATGCTCCGAAGTGGACTGAGAGTTTTGTTTGTTTTAAGAACACGTCGACCTTAACCTTACCCCTTCTATTGAGCCATGTCTAGGTACCTATATATGACCAAATGTCTGTAGGACTAGGAATAATGCGACTGGTAACATGCTTAAAACAAAAATTGTCACCTTGGCTGCATATACAATAGTTTAGGGCCCCCTATTTGTCATAGAGAAAAATCTAGCATGACCCATGGTGAAGCAAAATCATATACTACTTGTTGCCAGAATACATAGCATAATTTATGATCTTAACGTGAAGCAACATAAAGGAACGAGAGTTGTTACAGTTAAAAGGTAGAGATGGTTAAGCAAGTAAGTATAACTTTTAACATGATTGGGTTTTCTCTGGTACGTACACCATGAAGAACTTCTTCAGTGACATGATGAACAACAGCAAGCATGAACTGAACCATTGAACAGTAATTTGAGGCTGACCTTTATACATTGATGTATGCGGAAACAGTTCCTTCCCACATTGTTAGATGGGAAAAGAGGATCATCAATATGAATTGGATCGATGCTGTAAAATCACATGACGTCAGGAACAATATAAACCATACAGAGTGCAAGCATATCACATTAATAACTTCACACAGACTCTTCTAACCTGAGGCCTCTTTCTCTGTTCATATATACTCCACTTCCTTGGATAGATATTCGCATTTGACGAGGATCAAATACATTCCTAACAGAAGATTGTTTGTTTCCACACGTCATTTACAATGTAGGCTCAAAGCGATACTACTCATCCACAGCTCCACAACAAGATAGAAGTATAAAACACAGCAATAATTGCCTAAGAACCTAAAGAAAGAATCTGCACTCACCCAAAGAAGTAGAGGAAGTCCATCAACAGGCTACCAAGATTCTGCAAGAACAAAATATAACCCAATTTGGACAGCTGAAACTCATAAGAAGTTTAAACTCCACAAAATAACCATATTCTAACTAGGGCAAGCAAAATATAATCTGGAAGCAAGTTGTTGAACAAAACAGCAGCAAACTAAAAAGTAGTGATAAATATCTGAGATCTTAGCTGCCAAACCCGGCTACTTGAACACATTTTACCACATGTAGCTGTAGGCCACTGATTGCATCACATGAGTAGGATACACTATTATATATAACCAATTCATATAGAATTCTCAGCTAAGGAAGATAATCATGAGATAGTTTGGTCTTTCCAAGTACGCATACAAAACACTGGCATCATAAACAAAAGATTCCGCAGACTACAATAGAAAGCAGATTATATCATATGCACATTCTTTAATAAAGTGGCATTAGGACTTCCTTTGCATGGTTTAAATTTCAAAATAAAGGATTAAAGATTTTACTTGGGTAATTGGCCGACAAATATGATGCTCATGTTGAAGGAAGCGAGTAATCAACAAAACCTGTAGAAAGTCACAGGCTCACAACTTAATTAAGATATATGACTAAAAGAAATAACCAACATAAATTTGGTTTGGGAAAGGACTATATATAAGATAAGATCAAAGACATACAGATGTAAATGAACTTCTCAAAACAAAAGAATAGCAACAAAGGAAAAAGGAGTTCCAAAGAATGATCTGAGGCATAAATCTTAAAGGATAAATGTGTGTGATAATTACTGCCAGAGCCAAAAGATGCAAAATTCACACCAGTCAATGGGAAAGTATAATAATCCAAAAGTGAAATGTGTTGCCATCATTTACCAAGTGTAGGTGTATTAATCTTGATGCGATGGAAAAAATGGATGGTAACAAACTGCAGCGCCTTCAAAAATAGTGCATGTTTGACCACATGAACAAGTTCTGTAACAAGTGACATGAAAAGTTGTTCAAAATGAGTTGCCTGAAAATGTAATTGGGTTATAAAATAAGTACAGTGCAGAATATAAAACTCTATAGTGTATAGGACTAGAGGGTGCATTTCCATCAAACCCAGGCTCTTGAAACCATAATGTTTAACTCTCTTGGTGTCAGATTGCCAATGTTAAGCTTGCATATGTTGATCACTTGACCAACTAAAAAACTGAAGCTACAGTTATACTTTGTTTCCTTTTCCTCTCTTCTCATTTCTCTTCCTCTCTCACCATCCCCTTCTCTTACTCCAACCAAAAAGCCAATTATGCTCTTTTATTCCTCATCCTTGTCCTGTTTCTACTTCAGTCACTGCCTCTCCCCTCCATCTCAATCTTCCCCATCGTCTTCATCTCTCTCCTGGTACTCCCAACCTCCAGTTCATGAATCAAGTTACTACCACTGATTCCCACAAGGAGGCATCAGCACCAGTTGGTGGTAGAAAGGCTGAATAACATAAGAGAATTGGTTGGTAAAGAGGGCTATTAAGTGGAGGGAGCTAATAAGAATTAAGAAGAGAAAAGGACGGATTTAGAAGACCACTGGAAGACACAGAGGAATGGATGTGGAAGCAATGAGTTTTGATCAAGGTTGCATAGGTACGGGTACAGGACATGGCAAATTTGTAAAAAGTAGGTTACGGGGACACGGCTCATATATATATAAAACAATTATATTAACTATAACAATTTTACTATGCTTAATTTCAAATTGAGAAATAAGCTCATTCCTTAAAATTATAACTAAGTTATCGAAATGGGTGCTGAAAATAAACAAACTCAAACCCTATTTAACTGAATCAAAACGGGTGCTTAAACCCAAACCTTATTTAATCGAATCAAAACGGGTGCTTAAACCCAAACCCAAACCCTATTTAACTGAAAACCCTAGATCCCATTTCTCTCCTGACGCCATCACGAGAATATCATGTTATCGAAACCCTGTTCCCCTTCGAAGCTTCCCCGACCTCGTCGACGCTTCCCCGACCCCGTCGACGCTTCCCCGACCCTCGTTGACGCTTCCCCGACCTCGTCTTCGATCTCCGAACTTATTTGCTCCTGTGTCCCCTCCGTTTGGGTGCGGAAACGTACCCAAACCGCACCCGACACGGGTACGACGCCAAAACTGCCGTGTCGGGGTATCACAGGTTTTGATGAAAGGTGGATTAAGTAGGTGGTGGCAAATTTTCATGAAATCACATGATTGTGTTGTAGTAAAAGATGTATCCTTCATATACCGAGGAATGATATATCAGGTCCCAGAAGCGGATGCTTTGTGTTGATTAGGGGTGCAGTTGCACCCCTGGCAATCTATAAATTACATTTAAATACGATTTCTCCCCATAATTTTAAAAATTTTGCATGCCAATTGTAATTTTCAAGCAATTTGCATTTAACATTAGCACATTAGTATCTCAATTTCATCAGCCTATTTGAAATTAGTAGTCCATTTTCATTTAGGTAAATACATACTTATTGTTGGCCCCTCTAAGAAAATTTTTCTAGATCCGACACTGTCTGGCCCATACTTGACAGGGCCTAAAACCAAACAAAAAATAGTCTGGCCCATAATCTTTGACCCAAGAAACAAAGAGGCAAATACTTACGCAAAATAGACTATCCTATCAATGCTGATAGAGGATTACCTTGGGCCCTCTAACACGCAAATTACAAAATGCTAATAGAGGATAATCTTTGACCCAAGCAACAGAGATTCTTGTGCAGTCAAGATTGAGCTCCGAGTAACACCATGGCCCTATAACTGGATAAGGAAGTCTAAAGAGCAGGAGTGCCAACTAATAAGTGATACACCTCTAATAAAACAAGAAAACCTTGAAGATCTGCTTTGCTTTCTAGGGTTTGCACTTTAACATTGTATATAATATACATGTAACATATTACTGAAAGTGTTCACAAGTTGCACAAGCTTAGATTTGACAAGATATCGGAGTCAACTTTGTGATGGAAAGATGCCCTGGACCTTCTTTCAAACTAAAATAGAAAAACAAGCCCAAGACAGCCAATAAGGGCTTTAGCATGTTTCAGATGACCTATGACCCTCTCCTAGTTTCAATATCGTACATTTTACTAACCATATGCAAGTGACTTAAGTAGGTTCAAATCCACTGCAGCGACCCATGACTGCCAAAGCAAGCATGTGCCTCGACAGCAGATAAAGAAAAGCCGGTCTGAGCATGAGGCTAAGTCAGCAAGGGCCACTTGGTCCAACGCGACTTCCATGAATGCATTGTGTTTAAAAAACCTGAGCTCAACACCAAATATTTTGAATACACCGCTATTATGCTCAGCTTTTCTCTCAAAAAAAGTTGTAATACTGGCAGGAAATGATACTTAGCTAGGATGTCAAAAATATGATGCAAGAGGTGCATGTGTTTAATAGTCAGATATGTTCTACTCATACCTTGAACTTTTTACTTTGTCTATTAAACAGCATGTCATCCATAAAGAAACATAAAAATGCGACAGCATGAAATATTGAAAGTTCTTTTTCATGTTGTGCCATAACACATCAGACCAATGTAGCAAACATCGTGCTAGACAACTTACCAAACAGTATGAACTTAAGCCACCTGAATAAGAGTGATCCAGACTACGATCAGCCAAAAACTTCTTTAGTACTAAAGCTAGGGGTACAGAAGCAGGAAACTGTTGAGTGAGTTCTCTAACCTGCAAGTTAGAAATAAGATAATATATGTGAGCATCTTTTCTACAGCATTCTGAAAGACACATATTTTAGTTCTATTTATCACTAGCTATAGGCTATAGGGACAGCTTTATCCATCTCAGCTATGAAGGGGTATTTATATTAGTCAGTTAACGCTCAAGAGCATTACAGACTGTATTGTTATCTTAAAATCTAGTTAGTGGCTTGTACAAGCTATATTGATAGTAATAACACTATCCAATAGAGTTATAGTCTTACTAGATAATATATGATAAACACTAGACCAGTTATTTTCAGAATCGAGAGAGGTCCTGTATCACTAAACTGTTGTCATACACTGACTCAAGTATATTCACAAACTACAGCAAAAGAAACTTCAAAGATTATACACTTCAATGAATACATATAGTTAAAAAAGATGAATATTACTACCACTATTCATAAAGGTGACTTTGACATAACCACATAGCTATCGACAAATAACCATCAGAATCACCATTGCTAAAATTGAAACAATTAATTAGGTAACCAATATACACCTAAAAAGTAGTCACTTTCATTATTTAGAATCAATAATTCGTCATGATGGTAACATTGAAGATGAGGTGTCCATTAATCAGGATGATTAAAATGAAGCGCTTCGGGAGGCTTACATGATCATAGAATACCCTATGAGACTAAAGAAAATTTCTATAAGACGATCATAAGACAAACAATGTTTATGGCTCAGGATGTTGGGCAATTAGAAAACATCGGCAAAAAATGAGTGTGGCAGAAATGAAAATACTACGTCAGTCCTGTGGGTATACAATAAAAGATAGGATAAGAAATGAGTGCATCTGTAGTAAGTAAGAGGTTGCTCCTATGAGGATAAAATGATAGAAAATTGTTTTGAGGTAGTTCGCTTATGTGCAATGGAGGCCTCTTAGCATATCAGTTAGGAAAAGTAATAATATTATAGGTAATGGAGCAGAAGATGTCTACAGGTAGACCTAACAGAATTTAGTTGTAAGTAATTTAGAAGGATATGATAGTGATTAACTTAATGAAGGACATGGCCTAGAAATAAGACTAGAACGGAATGGTAGAATATGATTCATGTAGCCGACCCGAAACATTTGAGACAAAGACTTTGTTGTTGTTATTGTTGTTGTTGAACCAATATACACCAAAGGGATGTCTTGTTAAAACGAGGTTATCCGTGAATACCAATTAATGACTATATTTCAAGCCGTTGATAGGATTAGGATAAATAACCATATCACCTTAGAACTAACCTTGAGCCAACTTATGCAAATCACTACTTGAACAATGAGACTCAAGCTAGACACTACGATAAAATATACATCCTAAAATAAAACAACACAAATAAGTCGCTACTGCCTGCATTACATACACATTCAGATGGAATTGGTGATGAAAATATGAAGTACCAATTCTGACGTTTGGAGTCCTGTATGAGATGATGACTTGAAGCTGATATCAAGACGGATTGACTTGACCCGACTACCATCATCCATTCTCGTCTTTGAGAACGCCCCTGAAGAGGTATCCTCTGAACTCGAGTGATCTAAATGAGAAGCAGTATCTGCAGACATGTTGCTCGACTGAGTGTCCTGTAATTCCAAGATGGAGGAGTTTCCATTTGAATAGTTTATATCTTGAGGAACTTCGACCACAAGCATGATAATAGGTATCTGGACCACATAGTACACCAAATAAACATATAAACATTGAGGAAGCTACATAAAGGATGACAAACCTAAGAGCTAGGAAAAAGAGGCATACAGCAGTATTTTCGATTGTTTTAAGTGAATCATTTCTAACCCAATCCTGGTTTCCAAGATACCTAGCTGCATGCTGGAAGAGTGAACCAGATGTATCAGTATTCCGGAAGAGATACACAATGAATATGTGAAGTAAAAAAAAACAATATAGGAATTATTAATTTTAGAAGATAAGCAGAAATTTGAAGCAAAACAACCATCAGGAAAGTAAACACACTAATAACAACAACTAATCATGAAAATTCTCAATAACCCACACTATAATGCTATAATGAGAAAAAGGACATATTGACATAATATTTCTTGGGGCGCCTCCTCCTGGAAGCCTTTCCTCGGCATAAGCCCGGCATAGTTCCAATAGGAAAAAGACACACGAACTCAAGTTCTTCACTCCCTAAATTTTCTGCTGTTAAGAACAAGCTTTGTTTTAAGTCCAACTAGTTGAAATACACAAGCTTTCACAAGTTTCGACCAAGGTTGAAATCTTTGTTCTACACTCGTATCTGGATGCTTAGACATCAGTATCGGTAATTCCAGAGGTTTCATCGGTTATTTGCATCTATCAGCTTAAATTTTAGAACTAATTAAATTTCAGAAAATAACAGTAACAACTAACAGCATTTTACATTCCTTGCATTACATTTTGTTGAAAGCTCATAACAGAATAACTGACACAATATTAATCTCGCAAGCGAAGACAGATACGGTATTCAAAAGACCTTTAGCAAGAGTAGAGTAGTCACTTTATTTGCATAAAAAATTAAGTTCACAATAGTTTTTTTTTTTTCTTTTTTAGAATTTTTTGTCAGCCTAGTTTTAAATTTTTACTTTTTTCTACAATAAGAGTTTCTCTTTCAGAGTGCTTGTACAAAATTATTCAGCTTTTTGAACCTAACAAACTCATCAGAACAGTGCCAACTTGAATTACCTGAAGGCACGTTTCTTTGATGCCATTGCGGCCTTCCAGAATTCCAGCTTCTTTGATAGGTTCCTGAAACATTATGAATAGCAAATCTCTGTGAAATTAACCAAAATAACAATGAAAGAACATTCAAAAACTTGGCATATATTACTCACCAAATTTCGGACAGGTGGAAGCGAAACCACAAGATCAACATCACTTGTTGGAAGAGCCAAACCAGTTGCATTGGAGCCAAATATATTTGTCCGAGACCGAGGCCAAAGTACCTGAAGAGAGCGTGTGACCCTCTTAATAGCCCAATTGATGTAGGGCTTCTTTATCAGATTCTCAGCAGCAACCTTAGATTTACCATTAATGATGAACCATCAGTTACTTTGGAGCCATTAAGTAATACGTGAAGTTTGAAGATGATGACATGTTTAAAACTAGAATCCTTGGGTCTAAGAAGCCTCAACCATAATGGTTCAAACACAAATAAACAAAAGGTGACATTATGCGTTTTTAGCTCAATATAGAACTGCCATGCAGCTGATACAACATGCTATCTGCCTAGACAAAAAGCATACCGAGACCAAAGGCGGCAATAAATCAATGCAAGCAAATAAAAATAAGATAAAAGTATCTCATGCTCTCAACTCATTAATTACACAAAGAGATTTAAATCATAGTTCTTTAAAAAATGCATTATACCTGTTTGCAGAAAAATTCAATTTCTTCATGAAGACGATTCTGAAACATAGATAGGGATGCCCTATGAGGAGAATTTGATGCATCAGGTGGTTGCAGAGGCAACGCCACATCTGGCTGCAACAATATTTTTTCAAGCAACAAATTAGAACACAATAACAAGCATCGGTTGCCCTTATAATAAGTTAGTTATATGCAATATATGTGCAACAACTTCAAGCAAAATATCAGAACATAATAACAAGCATTTGTTGCCCTCATACAAGTTAGTCATATGCAGCAGTACATGTGCAGAAATTTAAATATAATGTCCTTACATGCTCCTGATCACAAGCTAGCTGGGAAATCTTCATCAAGTGATTCTGCAACAAAGACCCTTGAATAGATTGTGCCACTGGGGTGCCAACCAGACCTTTGGCTCTCCATGATGGCCAAACAACTTCAGCACCATCCAAACAAAGGCGAGGGTCATCAGCATTCCCATCTTCATGGCAGCCACTTCTCACACCCCAGTGCCTAGGACTTGAGCTACCAGACCTAACAATCGGAAAGCCTCGCTTTCTAGATTCACCAACAGGAGAAGGTGGAGGAGGCCGAGGAACCCGTGGAACACAAAGTACAACGGGTGATGGAGGCCGCTTGATTCGAGGATGATCCCGTCTATTAGAAGGTAAGCATGGGCTTCTATGATCCTGATTGACTTTAAATTCTGACCTTGAACCCTTTTTTGATATACTTGGAATAATAATGGGACGTAGTACAGGGTAGGGAAGAGTGTCTCCTTTAACTCCTTCAACACAACTGGGCGAATTATTCAACGATACAGAAGATTTCTCCTCACCAAAATCTGATGCTGATGATGAAGACTGCAGTATCTTTCCACCATCATTTCCAGGTACGGTATAGCCAATTTGTTGGTGCCCGGATGCTAAAGGATCAAATGGTGAACAGAAAGCGGCAGTGGGTGGGGAAGCCAGACCATTTGTGCTGAAGGAAGTAGGTAACCCAGGCATGCCAACCATATCATCAATAGCTCTATTTAGATCTGCCTCATACCAAGCCCAGGAGCTATCTTCCGAACTGTAAGAAGGTGGACGAGAAAAGCCTGTTCCAACATGTTCAGCTGGATTCCAATACATAACTCCACCACCAAAAAATTGGTTATAATCTCTGCCAGAAAATGCATGAGTATCAAATTCTTCTTCTGCTAACCAATAGCCTTCAGCATCATCGGGGAACTCAGATGCAGTTTTCAGATCGTAGACATCAAAAATATCCGGAGCATGCTTCCTATCATTCTCATTAGAAGCCCCATTAACTTGCATTCCCAGAGTGGCATGCGCAGCAAAGCCTGGTGAAAACGAAGCTGGCAGTGGTGGGTTGAAAGCAGAATCGTAGCTGATGGTCATTGTCTGATTAAATCTACCACAATTTTTAACCACTGGAGGCCAGTCATAACTCATGGGCAACGTTAGAGAAGGCAAGATTCGACCATACCCAACTTCAGTTGCTGAATTTCTAGGTTGATTCCTTGATTGCATGAAGGAATGATGAAAATGATTGGACTGCTTGTGACCAACTTCTAAATGCAATCTATCAGTAGCAGCAGGGAGATGAGGTGAATTAGCAGATGTCAGATCAAAAGGATCTGTTCTTGGCCACTCATACGAAATGCCACCCATAGTATTTATGTGGTTATGGATGCAAGATCTACTGCCATTATTTTGAGATACAGAACTTTGCTCATTAACAGCAGCATAAATGAGTTTTGAAGGAATGGGCTCTAAAGGTTTTCCATTTACAAGTCCAGAACATTGAAGCTTACATTGATTACCTTCAGATGTAGGAAAAGGAAAACATGTTTTATCGCAAACAGATGTGATCCCTGGACATATATCAGGATTGCTTTGCTTCTTGCAATCAGTATGACTATTTGCTACAGAACACTGAGATGTACCTTGTGGATTCTTCTCATATGCATTCTTTGCCAGAGATGCTGAAGCAAACTTGGTAGCACCATCTTCCAATTTGTCAGATCCTGAACAGCAGACTAAATCACCAGAATGGCTGTCTTCAGTAGGGAAGGAACAATCTACCAAGGCATTATCCGTCATTTTGTTGTTGTCTACCATGGAAGGTTCACCATAGCCATTGCAAGAACTTGACATTGCTGAAAGAGTGGCCCTGGAAGTGAAATCACGGGATACGGGCAATAATGTAGAAGTTGCAACAGATCCTTCCAGTTTGGTCTCTGCAGCAACCAAGGGAATTGAAGTTTTTGGGTTCTCAATTTCAGGCTCAACAACTTTCTTCAAGTTAGTGTTTTTACGCTTAGCCCCTCTCCCTCTGTTTCTCTTTCTATCAGCAGGGTGTTTACAGTTGACCAAACCTATGGCATGCTCCTGCATTATAAGAATTTAAGCAGCTAAATGAAAGGAGGTAATTCTAAAGCACAAAATAAACAGCCATAATCCAACATTCTCTGATCAAGTTCACCTTTCCAGGATCTTTTGGTAGAAGACAAGTATTAGCTGAGTCAGTCTCTTGATTAGCTGCAACAGGATAATTGTATTCTTGATTACAAAGATTATAACTGTTATCAGCAACACAGTCAATCTTGCCTTCATTTCGCTGTAAACAAAAACATACTGTAGTTGTAATGCCTGAATTGAGATTTCAAGAATAAAAACGAGATAGCAGAGAAATAACAACTCTTATGAAAATGGAAGTGGGCAAGTACCACTTTGAGCTCTGGCAGTGTAGAAACAACTCTTGATGAATTAGGCATAGAGTTTATCTGTTTTGAATTGCGAGATTTCTTCTTTCCTTTCCGGCATGCCATACTGAGCTTCTTCTCTTCGTTCTTATTTAGAAGGGTCTTCAACTTCTCATCTCCCAAGAGTTCTTGACTAATATAATCAATAGAAACTGCCATGATGAGTCCTCGAAGTTTCCTCATTATACAATCAGAAACAGTGAATGCAGACCCTAATCTACTGAAAAATAATGCCCCTTTTTCAACTTTATCTAGCTGACAGGCGAGTACTAAAGCAGATATTTTCTGAACTACTAGCAATCTGTTCAACAATTTCACCAAGTGGTGTGGCATACCAGAGCATGTGATGTCGTCCCAACTAGCATCTGAGTCCCTTTTTAAGAATGCCATATTTGACCTTTGCCTAGATGCAGTGGGATCATAATTTTGAAGAAGTTTAGCTTCGACATCTAAGGAACAAAAATAATTCCTCGGTGTAGTATTCTGCCCTTCAACGATCTCATTTGCCTGAAAATGTACAGTGTTCAAAGACTAACAAATATGCAGAAGTAGCATAAATCTAGCAACTAAATCTTATTCTGCTGATATTCTTTGTTCATGTAACCACAAAGAGATAATAAATATCATCCATCAAACACCTATCTGAGCTATCTCAATGATCCTTACTATTCAACAACAGAGCAGGGAATAACAAGTGGCAAATTCAAGGAGAAAAAGCTTCAGGATCCTTATAAAAATTGGTTATCACTATTCTAATTTATTTGTTCAATTGTTCTTCTGGTATAAATAAATTTTCTCTGGTAGATATGAAATAAGTTTTGGTGAAGCAGTCACGAAACATACACGTGTGGGCTCTAGTTAAGATACATTAGAATTAAGCCCCTAAGTTGAACTGCATAAATAGTGCACGTCTTTCATCTAGGTTCATGAGTGATATAACATAAATTTGCATTACTAATTACTGGTTTTATTACTACTGTCACATTTAAGGGGAAAAACAAGATCGAGAATGTGTATATGTGTGCGCATCTCCATTGTTACTTCACAACTTCCCTTCTTGAGCACCACTACAAGATCCTCTAGACAAGAAAGTTACCTATGAAGATCAAATGTTAGTGCCACCAGAGTCCGCAAAGCTTCTTGTTCATGTGGCAGTTCATTAAGTGATACAGCAAATAGCCAACAGTCCAGCAGAATGCGCAAGGAATGCGTTGTGTAGCTGTTTAGCATATATGATTTACCGCATTCTGCACGCAATTATAGAACATCTGATCTCTATCTAAATTTATGAAAGTGGGCAATAACCTTAACAGACCAGTTTCATAAACTGAGCACAGCTATGCTTGTTGCATACCCAGTGTTTTAATAGGTTGCTTCACGACCAACCCCTAGATGCTCACAGGATAGAAGGGAAAAATAAGAGGGCATCTTTTCCTTATTTCTGTTAAATATTAAGATAGTTTCCTGAATATTATAGCACATGGATATGGCAGCTATGCAGCTGATATGAAGTCTTACCATGCTAGTGACCTGTGATGAGAGTCCAAGGATCCCTTCCTAATATAGGTCAAAGCAAAGAAACTTAAGTTGATAAATCAGTGAAGCAGTAATGACATGTAAAGCACCTCTTTGGTCGCCATTTTATCCAATACGTGATAATTCTACCCAGTACCTATGTGTGGTGTGCCATGGGCTAGATCAAGAACCTATCAGTTATAAGGAAGTCTAAAAAGAGATATAGATTCAAATTTTCAGTTAGGAAAGTCGGCCGACACAACTTCTTGTAATTGCCTAGTTGTTCCACCAAGTAAGGTCATTAGGTTTAAAACTTAGACAAGTATATCTAGACCAGAAATCATAGTTTAAAGAAGTAGGTTGAAAATATAAAGTTGATCAAGGTTAATTTGTGAAATAAAGTATTTGCTTATACCATTTTCAACCTGGAGAATTGCTATTTCCCTGTTATTACAAGTTACCAGTATAAAAAGAAAAGTTACCGAAGATAAGTTATTAATGAACTGAATTGCTTCTCTAATAAATGAAAATTGAACCTGCATTCCTAGAATATACTTCTAAATTAGTAGTACCCCGCTGAAAAAAATTAGTACGTTAATCATTCAGTGAACAAATTGATGCAACCAATAAATGTGAGTGATTCCAATATGAGTCAGATTCATTTCAACTACGAGTCATCTTTTAGCAGGAGACAGTTATGAAGTTAGGGAGTCATGTTTTGTATTAGTCAGTTATGATAGTTTTAGTTAATGAGTTATTTTTTAAATAAGGATCAGCTGTATTTACAAAGAGCCATTTTCTAGTGATGTAAAAGGCATTAAGAAAGCCCTGACACCTTGGACTTAATCAGGGGGATTCTGAAGAATGACGTGTCTAAGTTATTTGTATATGAAGGCTAAGGCTTGGCATTTATGTTTTTCTATATCTTAATCCCCGCTTTTCCTTCCATTTTTTCGGACAGCTAGTAAACCGCTTACTATATGTGATTTTGATTTGAAATGAAGCATACCTTCCCTTTGTTTTCTTCCGCCTACCAGACATCAACAAACGGCAGCACTATTCCTCTTTTTGGTTAGGTATCCATATATAACTTGCACTTCTATATATAGCTGTATGAACCTTTTCTTATACAAAACAGACACGTTGCTCCATAAGGTATTTGGTAATGTGTGAACTCATGAAGCTACATACGAGGAGAAGAGCTTGCAATGCAATAAAAATTTAATCTCATGCATCATCATCAAAATTGTAACTTTACATAAACAGCTTAAAATAAAAGTAAATTTACCAGAGACTTTGCAGCCTTCCCCAAAAACCCCAAACAGAACTCCTTCCTTCGCCCAGGATCGAGCCCCGTCCACCAATCCACACACCCCTTCTTCCTCCAAAACACACTCTCTCTCCTGAGGCACCACCCCAGCTCCGCCGCAAAACCACCTCCACCTGATTTGCCACCAACTCCTCCAAGCTATAATACCCCTTATCCTTCAACCAACTCATCTCCTTCCACTCCTCAGCCAATCCGCCTTCATCTCCTCTCAAGAACCTCCCACCCGAAACCTCGTCCATCAACTTCACAAACCCATCAACATCAGCCATCAAATCTTCACTAAAAGTAACCGAATCCAGAACATTCTCATCCCGGGACCCGAACAGAAGAAGACTATCAGAGACCACATGAACCGACATTGTGCGGGCGAGGAGGCCGTGGGCTCGGCGAGAGCAGAGTGAAGGGAGG